TGGATCAATGTTAGCTAAATAAATATACTTGCAATCTTATTGGTTCATTACAGTTTGACCCATGATGTACCCACCTCATGATTTTGCCCCATAAAACATGCTCAGTGAGATGACCTCGGCAGCAACCTGCTTGACTTCTTTCCTGTCTCTCAAGACCTATTTCTGTTCTCCATTTCTACTCTCCAATTAACCTTTCCTAGTTCTTTTTTAGTCTTTCCTAGTCTTTTTAAATGTTTCTTTATTTTTTCAAATCTATTTTATTTCAAAGAGAAAAAGAAATTCAAAACACATCAATCAGGAGGCAACAATGGTACATACATTGTACATCGTCATCCCCAAATCATTCACCTAGAGCACAAGACATCTGCATTCAACTGTCCTAACAATACCACCACAAACCTTTCTCTTTAGTGAACTCAGACAAATCAGTGGTATAACTATCTCAACCATATATAGACACACATGTGTAAACATCACATTGAGGAACTCATATATATATAAATATATTTATATATATATATGTATTTATACATTGTTGTAGTTAGGGGTTGTGCAGAGAACAATTAGAATCCGGACACGAAGCTTATAATATTATTTTTATAATGGTCACCAGGAGTTAACACAGGAAAATGCAGGAAATCTCCGCAACACCAAAGACATAGATTATTTAGTTAACAGCCTAAATCCCACAGCAATGTCCCACATGATTCCAGATAAAAACGCAGAATTCAGGACAATACCTCCATGAGTCCAGCTGGAGGCCCAGAGCCCACAAGAAGGACTCACACCAGTCTCTTTTACGGATCTATGCCGGGAAGACCTAAATAAAGATCAGCGAGGTGAAGCCAGAAAGTCCATGCCAGCAGGATGAAGGAGCTGTGCTGGTGGGATGAGGATTCTATGCTGGAGCTGAGAAGTCACACTCAATAAAGACCAGGGCTGTCCTGAAAGGCACCGCAGCCGTCCTCAGCGACACAGAGGCCCCGAGCTCCTCTGATGACAAGCAGAGTCAGGTAAGTGCCAGGAAGCAGCATGAAGAGTTAGTTCATCCTGGAGACCAAGCTGCACACGTCTTCCCCTCCAGAGCCAGGGAGCAATGCTCGATGTGAGGACCAAAGCTTCTCCAGGAGAACCAACAGCTCAGACAGCAACATGTAGAGGAACCCACAATGCTACACTGCCTTAACGCCTCTGCACCTCCCTTCTTCTCCACCTATTTATCCTGGCAACTTTCCTCACGCGGAGCATCTTCGCTCAATGCCATGCTGATGTAATCCAGCTGGCATTAAGTTGACCACTAGCTCTTAATCCATAACATACATATAAATCCTTCCTACCCTAGTGAGACAGTGTGATGTTTACACATGTGTCTGATTTATTTCACTTATAAGTACAGTCTCAAGTTGCATCCATTTACCTGTAAAAATCTCAAGTTTATCCTTCTTTATGACTGAGTAGTACTCCATTATATAAAAATACCACATCTGTTTTATCCATTCCTTAGTCAGTGGGCATTTAGGTTGTTTCCAAGATCTGGCTATTACAAACTGTGCTGCTATAAACATGGGTGCACATATATTGCTATGGTATGATGTTTTTAATTCTTTAGGGAAGATATCCAGAAGGGGACTTGCTGGGTCAAATGAGACCTTCAATCCTAGTCTTTTTTTCAGCCTTTTCTAATCTTTTTTTGTCTTTTGGTACCACTATTTAGGCAACTGGGTTAGAAATATAGACAGACAGTCAAACAAGGCAGCAAATGTGGAAGAACGGGTGTCTTGCAACCTCCACTGCAGGCCAGATCTCAAGACAAAAGGCAAAACAAATGCAACCACATCCTAAGTATAAACATCAGGAACTGATCTTCTACATAGGCGTCAATCACCTTGAGGAAGCCAGAGGCCATTAACCGATCCTTACCAGCAAAGACCCTATTCTGTATTCATGCCCACTTGTTACGTGACTTCCCATTTGATCCCAATTTAATCAACTTTACCTGATAATTACCCTTGTAATCTTCCTGGTTGACCATAGCTCTGCCCACCTCATGTCCATCTGCCTTGAGAGTTCCCAGTTTTCCCCACTTCAGACCCGCCTCATCTCATGGTTTTACTCTCTAAAAATCCCTAGAAAATATAGAATCTTCGGCAACCCCCTCAGGATCCCTTCCGTCTCTCTCAGACAGAACCTTTCTTTTTCTCAATAAATATTTCTGCTCTTAACCTCCCTTGTTCCTAAAATCCATTCTTCGATTTTAGAGAACACGGACTCATACCTGACACATGGTAGGTTGGGAATTTCGTTTCCCTGTATCAGTACCACTGTAATTTTCTCAGCCGAGTTTTGTTTTCTTAGTTACTAAGGCTGGGAAGTATGTATTTATCTTTCAATCCTCAATCTATTTCAAATCTCATGTCTAACCAGTGACCATGTTCTAAAACTTCTCTGATAAAGAAAGATTGATTATTTCTTATTTCCTTTCTTACGCTTTCAACCAGAAAGGGAGAAGAGAAGCCCTAAATGCAAGAAGCACAGTTCAATCATTTTCTTATCATTGGAAGAAGGAGACTCTAAATTTAAAAATAGTCCTCACCCAGAGATGAGTTACCAAAATCTATTCTTGTCACTTCTAACTAACCCGGGGCATCAGATAAGACACTTCCCCTCCTGCTGCAGTTACCTGAGCTGCACGAACGCTGCGGAAGTGGGTGACATATTGAAACACTTTTCAAGCCTATAAAACCATGATTGCTTTTTCTTCACGTCTCAGAGGTGTACCAAAGAGGTATTTACTGCTCGGCAGGCGCTTATATTACTTCATAATCACCTCACACTTTGCCATAAAATCTCTTTTAACCCTGACTGAAAGATTCAACATCCTAAAGCACCGTTCTCTCATTCTTTTACCCTAAAGTGATAAGCAACATCAATTAAATTTTATTCTAGATCTTTCTGAATCATCCTCCTCTGAAATATTTTTCTACACATAATCAAACTTCAGGCACTAGTTAATCGGATTGTCCACGAGTGTGAACGCGTGTCCCAGGCTTCCCCATCTCTGCCCTTTGCTGGCTGTGTGCGTGGCTTTCTTCCTTCCTGGAGGATCCTCTTCATTTCCTGTATGCACTGAATCTTCACCCTACTCATAAGTTGTATCTCCTAAAAATCATTCCATTCCTCCAGGATAAAGCCAGTTGTCTTATGTCTTAATACTAACACAGTGTATTAATCTAAGTATTAATTCCCGGGAGAGTTGAACTCTGGGGACCAGAGAGCTGCCCAGTTCCGGCAGCAGGAAGCGGCCTGGCCTCTCCACTGCAGTTTCCCCCCAGCAGCCCCCACTGAGCCTGCAGCAGCTCCCCAGCTCCTCAGGGCTCCTCCCAGACCTCCTCTGCACTGCGCCCAGGACAGAGGCAGAGGGAAGCCTCCAGAGCTCCCGGCAGAGGATTCTCTGGCTCCTGTGCAGACAGGAACAAAAGTTCCAGGGAATGACACCCCTAGGAGAAACTTTCCATAAAGGAGAGGTGGGAGTCTGCTGATGACACCTGGGCATCCTCACTCCAGAGGCAGATTCACCCTCAGGAGTGTTGCCTGGCCTTCAGGTGGCTTCAGAGAGCCCAGACGCCCCCTCCAGGGAGGTTCCCAGGGACAGCGCCCCTTCTCTGGCTTCTTTTCCACTCCTACAGTGTGCTTTGGAGATTCACCCTCACATAACCCACTTGCACGCCAATATTTGACTTGAGGTACCCTTCTGAGAGAACTCTGTGGGTTTCCCATACATTTCATTTGTTCTTTTATCCTTTTTCTTCGTTTGATTTACCTAATTAATATTTTGAGAAAATTGTGCTTCTTTGTCACAAATTTGTCAATATGTATTTGTTCATTATATTTTTGTATCTTAAAATACCTTATGTGGGTTCAGGTTGTTACTTTATTTTCATTCCTATTACTGGTTTTTTGCCCATTTCTTCTTTTAATTATCATACTTGAATATCTATTTTGGTTTTTCAATGAGTTATCTCTTAGCTATATTGATCCTCTTTTTGTTTTTGCTTGTGATTGTCTCCATCACTGTTTGTTATTTTGTTCTTTTAATTTCTAAGTTTCCTTTGAGACATTTTTCTCTTCTTCCTTTCACTTTACTACATTCTTAGCTTTCTGAGAGGATAAATGCTAAATTTATTCTCACTTTGTCTGAATTTTTAATTAATGGATATGGAATTATATGCTTTCATCCAGATATTGATTTAGGATCACCAACTAGGTCATAAAGTATGTTTATTGTTTATTAGTCTTGTGTTTTTTAAAATTTCTGTTGTGACTTACTAAGCAATGTATTTAAACACCAATTTAATATTTTAATTACAAAATTTTGTTTAATTAGATATCTTGGGTTCTAACTTTCTAAATTTAATTATTTCTAACTTTAATTATTTTTACTAGACTAGTCAATTATTAATTGCTATTCTTAGGGTCCAACACACACACACACACACACACAGGGTATCACTATGTAGTGCAGGCTGGCCTTGTACTCACTATGTAATCCAGGGTGGCTTCAGACTCTTGGGGATCCTCCTGCCTCAACTTCCTGAGAGCTGGGATTACAGGTGTATGCCACCACGGCTGACTTCTTTAGGAGTTCTTACAACTTCAGGCCAGGGTAATGATAAATTTTTATAAATGACCAAAATATGCACTTACAAATTAGACTTGTTAAGAGAATATTTCTTTTTTTTTGGTACTGGGGGTTGAACTCATGACGTCGCACTCACCAAGCAGGCACTTGTGCCACTGAGCTAAATCCCTGGCCCTGAAGGAATATTTGTTTAAAATATCTATTGACTGCCAGGCATGATGGCACATGCCTGTAATTCCAGCACTCAAGAGGCTGAGGTAGGAAGATCGCTACGATTTTGAGGTCATCTAGGTCTACCTAGTGAATTCAAGTCTACCCCAAACTATATAGTGAGACCCTGTCTCAAAAAACCAAAGTAACAGTGCTGTCTTTGGCAGCACATACACTGCAATTGGAAGGATATAGAGAAGATTAGCGTGGCCCCTGCAAAAGGGTGGCATATAAATTCGTGAAGTGTTCCATATTTTTATTTATTTATTTTAAAATATGGAACGCTTCACGAATTTGCATGTCATCCTTGCACGGGGCCTCACTAATCTTCTCTCTGGAGAATCTTCTCTATGGAGCACGAGTTCCATATTTTTTAAAAAACAATTGTCTAAAAATATTAATCAAATTTGAAGAATTATAGTACGTCTTCTCAGTATAATCTACTGAATTCTTACCTAGCAAATTAAACTCTCTTAGCAGAATTATTAATTTGAGATTTTGTTCCTATAATTCTGCCATCTTTACTTTATATACAGTATTTCAAAGTTCTAGGTCATTGGACATGAGCTGTAATCATTATATGTTAACTGACCATACGATTAAGAACTATTTCTCTTTGTCATTTTCCATCTCTTGGCTTCATTGACAATTCCAAGTTTGGATTTCCTTTGGTATATGGGGTGTAGAAATTTAACTTCTGTCTATGAAAGTGCTGAGACCTTAGTCATCACGGGTTTCATGGTCTCAATTCTGGTTTATTTCTATACATTTCTTCTCTATTTCTTATAGGTAAGACATCTACACTTCAATGTTTTGACTTTGGAGAAGGAAAAAGAGGACTTAATAATATACATATTTATATGTACATAGCAGAAAGGGATGCATACATTTATGTACAAAGGCAGAAAAAGAGAGGATGAGTGCATGGAGTATTTTAACCTATTCTTTTCCCACTTTCTTATTTTTTCTTCTTTTTGCAGTGCTAAGCTTTGAACCCAGAGCTCTGCACATGTTAGGCACGTGCTTTACCTCCAAGCTCTACCACTGAGCTACATGCCTAGCCCTTTGTTCAATTTTATTTTAAGATCAAATATTACTCAGCTGCTCAGGCCAGCATTGCAATCCTCCTGCCTCAGCTTCTGGAGTAGCTGGGATTGCAGTCATGCCCAATTACATAGGCTGCTTCTGTCATCTTGACTATGTAGTCTATTTAATCTTTTAAGCAGAAAATTTGATTAGTATCCACTTCCATTCAATTTCTTGAAGTGCAGATATATTTATTTCTTTTGAAATTAATTTTTTGAGCAACTAGTGAATATCTTCATTGCTCTCCTTTGAAAATAGTTCCAAAAATTCTTAAATGGGCTGCTCATAATCACTTAGTCCTGTCACTCAAATGCAGAGCTCCCTCCGACAAAGTTACTGATGCATTTCTACACAGCAGATAAACTTAAGTGCTTGCCACTTTTAGAAATGGTACCTGGGATGATGCCCAAGATTACATTAGGAGGGGAATGTATTAATGTGCCCTTAAAAGTATTTTTAAAGCCTAGCAGGAAGAAAAATTACTTTACTCCCATAATTTGCTTTATATATTGCTATCATCATTGCTAATTACAGCTTCCCGATATTTATTAAGTTCCTTCAGTTTGCTTTTCTCTCTTAGTAAATTTATTTCCTCTTTCATGATAATTCTTCTTATCAAAAATTTATAAAATTTAATTAGATAAAAGATATGGATGAATTATCAAAATAATGAATGACTGAGAGACTAGATAAATTAATGGTAGAGAGAATGGTTAAATCAATCGCTAATTTTTTTTCTTTCATTCTGTTCAGACTCGAAAATTCAAGTTTCTTTCTAAAATTTAAAAAGGCTTAAGAGGTCTAAATCTAGTTTAGTCAGACACATTTGCTTGCATCTTTAACAATTTCAAATGTGTTTTGACAGATTTTCTTTCTTTCTTTGTCCTTTAGATGATAATTTATGGTTTCATTTCACAGCAGTGGAATATTACAGTCTTTTTTAGGGAATGAAAAAATTACCATAATCTAGCTACCTAATACTGTCGTACATGAATCATTTAGAAAATTTTAGGCATTGTCCAATCATATTTCACATAAAACACTCCGTGTCTCTATACTATAGAGCACCACGCATGTATCTGTATAGCTTAGAAAATTACTGTAAGTAAAATAGAAGTAATTAAGTAAGGTATGTTATGCAATACCATTGTGACCATGCAATTTGAAGAAGACTTACTAAGCAAATTTTATTTAGATGCATCTTCTGGCCCCGCCTGTGAGCCAGCCTAAAGCTGGTAGTCTAAGCAACTCTGTAGAAGATGACAATGTACAACATAGTAACTATTGTAGATTTCCTATTCTTATCACTGTTTCATTTCATTTTATTGCTTGGTCCCTTTAAAATAAAAATAAGTACATAAATTTTTAAAAATGCATCTTTTTATATAACATTGTCCAACACTTTACATAATACAACAGGAATTAAAAATAAAGCAGATCAGTCACAAAAAAGCAAACAACAAAACAAACAAAAATAAAGCTATCTTTTACTCACAAATTATTAGCGACTGCAGATAATAAAGAGCATACATGTTATTTTCTTATTAAGATTTAATACTGTTATCCTAAATATTTTTTAAAAAGGATTTTTAAAGCTGGGCATGGTGGTGCATTCCTGTAATCCCAGCATTTGGGAGGCTGAGGCAGGTAGATTGTTGCAAGTTCAAGACCAGCGTGGGCTACAAAGTGAGCCCAAAGCCAGCCTGAACCACATAGTGAGATCCTGTCTCAAAAAGACAATTTTTAAAGCAACAAAACAAGATGATTATTTTACGATTATAGTATAAAGATATATGAAATGATACAGCTTGGTTTTATTGGTTTTCCAAATCAGATTTACACACATTTAAAAAGAGGTTTGTGACACTGTACTAGATAATTTGAGTTATAGATTACAAAAATCTTTCCATTAACATGTGCCCCTTCTGACCCTTGACACTGAAATTGATTTAACCTTTTCTTCAGCAGAACATTGTGATTAACCAGCATTAACATTAAATTATCTGATAGTGTCTATTAGTTTATATAGATTTTCAAACTTTTAAATTTGAAATTTAAAATTTTCATCTGTTAAGAAAAATTGTTATGATTTGAGGATGACAATATACAATGTTTATACCAATATTGCCCCCGATTGATGTGATTTGAAATTATGCTCACACTTCCCTCACACTTGTGGACTGCTTCTCACATTAGTGAAATTTCTGGGAGCATTGATCCTCTTCATCAGGAATCATTTTTCTTATAAGAATGGAATCACAATGGCTTGAAACTGCTCCTGTATTATTTTCTTTACTGGATGCCCCACCTTCCCCGTGATTTCTCCTGGTGTCTGTGAGAGCAGGGACGCTGAAGCACACACTGTCCAGCCCACACTGGGCTTCAGTGTGAACATGGGAGAATGCGGAAAGAACATGAGCACACAGTGTCTTCGAGCAGAGCTCCGTCAGACAGCCGAAAGCCACATTTCTTTCTTTTTCTTTCCCCACTATTGGCTCAATGATGAAACTGTGCAAGGTAGGTGCCTAGAGAAAGAAAACAAAAGAAAAGAAAAGATCAAAAAGAAGACAGAAAGTGAAGATTGAAGGGGAGAAAGAGGCAGGCACAGTGGTGCATGCCTGTAATGCTAGCAGGATTGTAGAGCGTCTGAGGCCAGCCAAGCTTCATAATGAGTTCGAGGCCAGCCTGCATTTATTACATGGAGAGATGCTGTCTTAAAAAAAAATGAAGAAGAAGAAAAGGATTTCCTTTAGTTGCTAAACCTTCTGTTTTATAATGAATGTAATCAATATGTTGGCAAAACGATAGCTTTTTAATTCATAAATGGTGATAAAGATGCCATAATTCAATTCACTTGTTCCAGATTGTTTCAGAAGTTGAGAATGAGTCTTGCAGGGACTAACAAATGTGAAAACCATTACACTCAATACAGCTTTGTCACTGGACTTACACTGAATTAGTTTAGTTTAACAGAGAAGTTCCTGGTTAGAAATCACACATGCTGCTTTCAGGCAAATCAAGAGGCCTTTTAGTTTGAAATAAATAATCCTGGCCCTGCAACTGACTACTCATTTTATGCTTTTATAACTTCACTCAAATAAGCATTTGGATGCTTTGTAAATGTAACATATTATTAGTCAGGTTAAAGCAGTACACCTTAAAATAATTTGACATTTCCCAGAATTTGGGCTTTCGCACAAACTACTTGGATATTAAAGTGATCTATGCTTGTCTTCCAATACAATGTCCAAGTGGTTAGTTTTTTATGTTTTCAATCAAATTATAAATTCTTTTATTAACAGGCATTTTAAACAGAAAATACTAATCTGATTTAAAAACTATGAGTGCTACACCAGAGAATATACAGCTCATGAGTAATGTAAGTATTTCCCACTTAAAAGATAACACAGAGCATACAAACCCTACCCTAAGCAAAGAGGCTGGACAGTGGATACATGATCAATGTGTCTAAAATGATATGTGTATAGAACGTAATTAATGCTAATTACATGAGCCACATATTTCTCCCATTCCCTTCACGCTTCACTCTCCCCAGAAACTGGATTCTGAACTTCTTCTTCCAAAATTGGTAAAATCGAGTTATCCTTGGATACCAGGTTATATTTCATCACTAACTTAGTAATCAATGACATGAAAATGCTCCATTTTCATATTCATCAAATATCTGCTGGTGATGAAAATAAACAGGTGAAAATATTCTATAAATCCTACGACATAAGGATCCTAATTTTGCTGCAGATGATTCTTTTATGCTAACCCTGCTGGGAAAATATTTATGGCTGTTGAGCAGGAGACAGCACCATGGAGCGTGTGTCTGGTGTAGTCTATAGCACAGCACTCTCTTGGAGTTTTATAAGCAGCACAAAGAAAAATCCATTGTTCAGTTGCTGTCAGCTGGGTGCAAGTATGTGGATGGCATTCACTCTGAAGTTTAACAGCAAGTCTATCTAGTTTAAGGCAGAACTGCATTAGGTGTTGGAGGCAAAGCTGTCTGTGCCTCGGGTATCTAGGACAAAACCACTGCCCCTCATGAGCTTTGCAGCGCCCCTGAGAAGTGTGCACAGTGCAGGGAGATGATCCACACAGTGACTTGACCTTCACTTGGGAAATCTAGACAGATTCCCCTTGTTTCCTGTGAAGCCACCAAGGCA